TTGTTTAACTGTTGCAGTCTCCCGGTACCTAAGGAGTTGTTGGTAAATGTGTAACAATCATTGTTTAACTGTTGCAGTCTCCCGGTACCTAAGGAGTTGTTGGTAAATGTGTAACAATCATTGTTTCACTGTTGCAGTCCCCTGGTACGTAAGGAGTAGTTGGTAAATGTCCAAATATCATTGTTTAATTTGCGAACTGTTGCAGTCCCCTGGTACGTAAGGAGTAGTTGGTAAATGTCCAAATATCATTGTTTAATTTGCGAACTGTTGCAATCCCCTGGTACGTAAGTAGTAGTTGGTAAATGTCCAAATATCATTGTTTAATTTGCGAACTGTTGCAGTCCCCTGGTACGTAAGGAGTTGTTGGAAAATGTGTAACAATCATTGTTTCACTGTTGCAGTTCTCTGGTACGTAAGGGGGTTGTTGGTAAATATGCAAAATATCATTTTTAACTGTTGCAGCCCCTGGATATGAAGGGAGATATAGGTATTGAATTGTTGAAGACCTTGTATACGTAGAGAGAATATCGGTATTATTGTTGAAGTCCTTGTATACGTAGAGAGAATATCAGTATTATTATTATTATTTAACTTTGAATTGTTACAGTCAAGATACACAGTCCGATAATCCACTGCGTCCTTGTCCTGACGGGACCTAGAAAAAAATCGAATTTATATTTATTAAAAATCATATTTATAGATTTACATTTTTATATTGTGATTAAGTTTCGTTATTTTGACTAATTATAAATGATTTTGTATAAACGTTGTATTCTTTATGGTGAAAAATTTAATTCGTTTTTTTTTATTCGAGAATGCGCATGCTTAGTGTGATGCATTCCAGTTTTGGGTTGCTTAACATTTGTTTCTATCGGGTGAGTTTTGTCATTAGCTTCGTCGTTAATTTAGTGTATCTGATGGGGTTTGGCGCACGTGCTGTGTTACTACCGTTAAGTTGTATTAAATATCCCAGTTAGATTATCATAATCATCTTAATTATCTGCTTGTATCATTTAGGCTACAATAGTCATTTGAAATAGATTACTATGGTTATTATAAAAACTGTATCTGTTATATAACAAGTCTGTCCATATTCGAGGGTTAGCTTGATTAAACAATTTTAAGTTAATATTATAACACCAGAAGTTGCTGAGGTGTTCGTATTACAAAGTTACACAACCTATTAAACGTAAGTAACAGCCTTAACTGCTTCGTATTACAGTTCTTTAGAAAATTACAACTTTATTAATACGAGGAACGTATTGTTTCATTTCTCTTTGATTACTGTTTACTCTTGTATACGTTATTAATTCTGTAAAAACTCTACACCATAGAGGACATTATGTATTCCTGAGCAACGTCAGTGTTATACTGTCTTTTGATGTTTATTATATTTTGCACGTTTCTGTCTACAGACTCGGCTATGGACCTGTATGGAGATAACTTTAAGCTGCAGGATATGCTGGACTCTGATATCCGATCTCACCTGGACATACTTCTCACCAGTACAGGGGATGTCACTGGAGACCAGAGTGACCACCAACCTACTTTGACAGATCTCGCCCCAGCAGCGCCACTTGAATCTCTGGAATCGTTGGACATGGAGAATGAGCTTGGAGGGATGGCAGGATCCACGTGGTTAAGTCATGGGTCTCAGCTTTTTAACTTGGGGCCAGACTTTGACATCCCCGGAGGACTTTTGGTTAACCCTCAAACAGGAGTGCCCATCGCCATGCCCCAGCCTCCTACAGCCGTCCCAGCGAGCACGAGAGAAAATCAGCCCGTAACTACTGTGCAGACGACCCAAAACAGCGATTCAAGGACGCAACTGATAATGACCACCCCTTTCTCCAGTCCCCAGCATATAAACCATTTGGATTTACAGCTAGCTCAGAGTCACAACTTTCTGGAACAACCCACTCCTCGGCCAGAGGTTGTCAGCAGTCCAAAGTGCAAGCAAAAGTCCAGCATCGGCAAGAACGGCAAATCCACCGTGCAACAAAACAACGGGGAAAAGTGTTTCCCGAAACCGGCCTTTTCCTACAGCTGTCTCATAGCCATGGCCCTGAAAAACAGCAAAACTGGAAACCTCCCTGTGAACGAAATCTATAATTTTATGATGTGAGTATAATACCAGCAACATTTCCAATATGTTCTGTGGGTTAGTAAAATCAACAGTTGGGTTATCGAGCATGTAATTGAATGTTAGTTTCCATCAACTAAAATGTTGTATTTACATAAGAAATATTTCAACTGACGTATAAAATAGTGACTAGATGAAACCAATTAATTCTTACACCAGCGATCCTAGCGGCGGTAAAATATATTACCTCATTCAAAACTGAAGTGTTAGTATAATCCGTTATTTCAATAACGATAAACTGTAATATAATGTAGAAAATGGATGCTATTGATCACGACGCCATTTTGTTTCGACCAACCATCTTTAATTTATTATACTTGTCATAAGACATTATTTTAGGCCTATTACGTTTTTAATACTACGTTCTTAATTTAAACCCTTAAGGATTTTTCAAGAATTAGAAAAGCTAGCTTCTAAAATGTGTTCATTTGGTTCGATCGAGTTTCTCAAGCACAACTTTTAGATTGGAAATACGCTATAACTAAAAACTGTGTCGTGGGCTTTTCTTAATTCTTCAGTCAACAGACAACTATCGTTCACGAGCACACACATTCCAACACGTGCCGCAAGTTACTACTGCACGTGAGCAATACGTTCATGTCCGCACACCAAAAACACACTTTTCCCCTAAATGGAGTACGTGGAGACGTGTGTCAAAATGGTTTAGACAAAACTGGTGGTGATATTTGTTATTGTTACCTATAGTTACTTTAGCAACTGATTCAGTGACACGTAGGTTAAGATCTACAAAGAGTCTTGAAAAAAAGGTAAATATGGTTCTATCTTCAAACGAAAGCAAAGTAGATATAATCTCCTTAATATGTTTGATTTTTTTCGTAGAAATTCGTGAAATTCTTGTGTATTATTTTTCTTCTTAAAATATGGATTATTATTCTTTTTTTTTAATTGTTTACGATTAAAAGTATAATTAACGTAAGTTCGCGGGAGAAATCTCAGTTTTTAATAATTCCATGATGTGCTTTATGTTTTCTTGTTCAAGGGGTGGGGTGGCCAGGTGGCTTGCATGTGCACCTGGTGCGGGTAGTGGTTTACTTTGTTTATCGTACGCTATATTGATAGTGATACGCTGTAGCATTACTCGGTTGTCAATGCTTTAGCATTAAACGTTTGGGTTAAAAACTATGTTTAGTTAAGATTTGCTATACTTGTGTGTGTATGTATGTATATTTAAACATTTCGCTTTGAAAGCTAGTTTTAAAATAGTTTCAATATTTTATTTCAAGATGTTTTCCTCAATGTCTTGTACTCGATATGTTAGGCCGTTTATTTCACATAACTTGGCCGTCCTTTAAATAAATATGTATTCAGTTGTTTACTTTTATATATGTGTAAAAAAAAAAAAAAATATTAAACGAGAGACGTGCGTGTATACTATATATATAAAACTGAAATGTAATTTAATGTGCGTATAAGATAGACCAAAGAAAAGAACTGATACTACCGCATGGTGACTGTGCCTTATGTTGGCCCTTGTAAATCCTAAACTGCTAAAAATGTATGTTCATCCAAACTGTAATACGTAACAAATTAATTTGATTTTTACTATTAAGTGAAAATAATTTTTCTGTTCGAAAAATATTAGTTAATGATTTATCAAGTTAGTAAACTGGTAGTTTAGAACGTGTTAGAAAACTGATAGTGGATAATTTTCCCATGTTAGAAAACAGTTCATATTAATTACCTGCGTTTAGGATACTTGTTAGGCTAAATTTATTTTTTGTGCATTTTGGTAATTGTTTCAGCAGAATATTTTTGGTTTTGTTTTATACCTATCCAAAATACATACTTTTATAAGCTGTACCCTAATACAATAAATAATTTATTTAGAAAACAAATTAAGAACAATTAATAAAATATGGCGCCATCTATTGGTGATGATGTGAAACGAAAACATGACAAAAGTATATAATATTGATGGTTTTTTTTTTTCACTATTGCAGCTATTGGATTTTAAATGCATATAAATTATTTTCATGATACTGTTTCCTGTTTGCTTTAATTAAAGTAGTTACGTTCAAAATGTCTAACGAAGGTGTATGGTTTTTAATTTAAGATGAAACAAATGAAACATTTGTAAATATTTACCATCTTGATTTTTTTTTTATGTTAAATGGTTATTGAACAGTATAGTTTTAATATTAATATAAATAATCAGTTTCGGTTCATGTTTAGTAGTAGGCAAAATGATACTTAACGCTAATTGGAATTTGAAGAAATTAAATATATATATTAGCTAATCATACCTGCCTACACAAGGGTGCGGTAAGTCTGTGGGCTTATAACCCCAATAATTGGGTTCTGATACCAGCAGTAGGCAGGTAACTTGTTGTGTAGCTTTGTGCCTAACACACACACATGACAAAAGAAAAAAAATTAATAGAGTGCATTTATAATAAATCCAGAGAACATCTAACATAACATTAAAAGTCAAGTAATTGGTGAATTAATTTACTGATTTTGAAGAGTGATTTCAATCATGGTTATTATGAACTAGTGTTAGATAGGTACAATTTCTGTAACTGTTGCATTTGAATGTCTGAATACTTGCGACAAAGTCGTATTTTAGTATCTCATATTTCTTCAGGGATAAACAAAATCACAAACCCATGTCATAATTGTTTTTGTATTGATTTAAGATGATGCACAGGTTTGATATTTTTCAGCAAGTTTAACTAGCAGTAAAATTTCATAATGTTAGCTACTTGTAATGGTATTGTATAGAAACACCACTAACATTTTAAACATGTTGCTTGTTTCATAGTATTGTATAGAAATACCACTAACATTTTAAACATGTTGCTAGTTTCATAGTATTGTATAGAAATACCACTAACATTTTAAACATGTTGCTAGTTTCATAGTATTGTATAGAAATACCACT